TATTTAACCGAATTTTCAAGTATTCAAAATACCTATTTTTATGGTTTTTCTGCTTTAGAGAAAAGTTACCAAGGATCTTTTTTGTTCAGAATGATCTGCGAAACTTGAATGGAGTTTGTCCAGTTTTTTTCGCATCGTTTTGAACAACAAAGCAACTTTTCGCCAAAGTTGATCGTTTTCGAGTTATGATTGATGTAATCCCTGTTAAAAATTATGATTTTTGAGATTGCAACGTGTCTTAATTAAAATGAAATCCTCCTCCTATAAGACCTCCTATATATGAAGCAATTTTTAACATTGTTTCTTAGTCTAAAACTGGCGATATTTGATTATCGCAAACTGCACACCATTTTATTTTTGGACAGTCGAATAATATACAGAATTACAGTCGACTTCAATTGAAATGAAAAAAATAAAAACCAGTAGGTGGACATAACGTTTTGAAATAGATTATGAAACAGGTGTCAAGATCAGAGTCAAAAATAGTATCATATCAATACCACATAAGAAACTGACTTTCCTGTTATCGTAGGTTGGAGAAATATCCTTCAATTCTTCTGCAAGTATGTTGTACCTGATTCTGGCAATTCAAGGTATCTGCACAATACATGCCTGACCGTTTCATCTCCCTCCAAACAAGTTGATCGACTTCCTCAGGAGGTCGGAGCTACAGGGGGAAATATAAATAGGTGTGAGCCACAATAGACCAAAGAGTCGCAGTGGAGGATCGTTATTGATGCACTCACAAGAAACCTAACCCCTAACCCTATCGTAGGTTTGTCCTAGACTATTTCCCTCATCTTGATTTCTACCAATCACAAACGCGCACTTTTGAATTAAAAATGGATTCTATCAGGTAACCAAATAAGTTCGTGCGGTATTTGGTAGAAAAATATAAATTTTTATTGAGAAACAATAAGACATTATTTATTCGTCGAAGTAATTACCATCACATTGACCTTTTGCCAATGTGGAACCAATTTTTGTATGCCGGTATTGTAGAACTCCCTGGATTTTGAGTAAAAAAATTGGCGGACTGCATTTATAACACCACCTCGAGTTGTGAACTGTCGGTGCCTCATACAGTTGTCAAGAGACAAAAAAGGTGATTATCACTGGGCGAAATGTCGGGAGAATATGGCGGGTGCGGTAACGTTTCCCAGTCGAGTTCAGGAATTTTTTCTCGGGTCACTTTTACGGTATGAGGCTTAGCGTTGCAAGAATATCACTTTCTTCCGATTAATCAAAGAAGGCTGTTTCTGGACGAGTGCTGCTTGTACTCGTTGAAGCTGCTCACAATACAAGTTAGCGGTGATGGTTCGACCTCTTTCCAAAAACTCATAATGGACAGTTCCAATTGCTGTCCACCAAACACACAACAAAACCTTGTTTGAGTGCAAGGAAGCCTTGGCCGTGTGTGGTACCGAATCAGTAGGCGACAACCAATCTGAACATTTCTGCAAGTTCTTGGCACGTTGTCCTGGAATTTGCATCCACAACCTGTCATCACTCAAACTGAGATCTCCCGAAGAAAATTTTTTGAACCACTTCTGTTCGATCACTAACGGTACATATTTTTCGCGCAGCCGCTGCAGCTTTTGTACCAAGTTTGTACTCATACAGTAAACAACTTCGAATTACTGATTTATTCGTCGCCATTCTCATTTATTAAAACTAGGTATGTAACAATTTTCAGCAACTTTTTATGTGTGTGAGAAAAGAATGATTAATACTAAAGTGACAACAGGTAACAAGCAATCGCTATTGATCAACAACATCCATGGCAATGAGCGATATACAGCGACCGCACGAACTTATTTGGTTACCTCATAGATGGAAAAATTGTATGACAGCACCTGTCAGCAGTTTTTTCGAGTTTACCCGCGGCAAGACCCGACAGCTGTTGTCACCAAAAATTACAGTATCTTTGATAACAAGTAATTATGGTCTCCTAGGACACCCTAAATAATCTGTTACTCATTAAATGGTCTTGTCAAATACCATTCGGGCATCTAATTTGTCCCTGTAAAAAAAATCGAAAAAACAATGTAAATTGATATTTTTTGTTAACAAAAACATTCGTGTGGATTTGTATCAAGGCGAGAATACACATGCTTGTTACACGCACAGAAGCATGCCAGTTACTGGATTGTGCGTGCTACTTGCATGTGTGACTTTCTTTGCCAGCAAGAAAGCACGCTAGAAGATAGCACGCCAGTAGATCGCAAGACGTTTGATTTTTGTGTGCCAGTAGCAGGATTTCGTCGAGAGAATGGAGGGGAGGAAACATGCGAGTCATATTCAAAGGTGTGTGAACGACATCGTTACCAGAAACTCGCATGTGAAAAACGGATTCTTGAACTATAGAACTATTTGTTTAGTTCCGGGCAAAATGGCTCGTTGTGGAGACGAAAAGACATTATTGTTTGTTATGCAGAATAGGGTGTATCCGTGTTTATGGAATACATGATCTCCATTGTATAAAAATAAAATCGCTAGAGACAATGCTTACAAGTCTTTATTGAAGCAAATGACTGATAACAATTTAACATTGAAATTTATGAAAAATAAGATAAAAAACCTAAGAACAACCTACCACCAAGAGTTAAAGAAGATAAAGGAAAGTTTTCACAGACTGGGATATCCAAAACTAGCATGTGTATTTTGGGATGTCGTAGGACAAGTAGTTAGCATACAAGTTACTGGCCACTGGCATGCTATTTTACTGGCATGTGTATTCTCGCCTTTACTTAGCAACGTGTTTTTTAGATTTTTTTTCGGAAAAATTAGATGCTCTTATGATATTACTTATGAACAATGTGTACAGTACACTGGTATTAATTGCGTTAAATGTTATTAACCGAACAGACTTAATCATACACATATCTGTTTCGTAAATCTCACATTTTTATAGGCTTTTTAACCAATCTAATGAGTTGCATGAGTGCCAAACAAGTGTTGTTTTCAACTGTTTATGCGTATCTGGTTGCGTTGACCGTAAAAATCGAAAGCGCGTGCCTTGATAGGCTATCGACCCTGTGACATGGCTGCTACGAAAAGTGGAACGAGATCTTGAAAATAGCCAATTTACTATCTCTCTCAGTATTGCAAAACGGATTGCTGAATGATGATTCGAATCGCTGACTAAAACGATCGGTATATTAGACAACGCACAACGGTGGTGCGTAAAACTATTGTTAGTTTAATGCCCTGTCTCTCTCAAACCTACCTCTTATACAAAGATGATCCTGTTATTGATCCCTTCGATATATAGATGGTTATTTGTTTCAAGTTGTTTACATCTGGTATGTGTTTTAGGTCGTAAAGGGGTCGAGGGACCGTTTTGGGGCGTCGACGGGGTTAAGGCACTTAGCAGGAAAGGCGGTGCTCATGGTTTGACCCGTTGGAGATTCGTAATTATTAAAATTTCATATAATTTTATTAACTCACGCATTTTATCCATATATTGAGATCAACTTCAAACTAAGTTTCTGTAGCACCACTCCGATTTGGTAAAAACTTAGATAAGATAAAGGTTCATCTGACAAGCATGTATCTATAGAAACTTTCTAGAAGAACTGCGTCTGCAAATACAACATAAAGTTGGTTGACTCGGCATGTATATGGAAATCTGTCACATTTTGTCAAAGTTTCCGCCTTGTGATATACTTGAGGACAGTATCCACCATTATAAGGATATCAAATCCTTATCAATTATAAAGGAATAAGGAACATGCATGAATCTGTCGATTATTTACGTCAATATATTACCGTAAATGCATATTTCATTCATGGAAATGTCTGTACTTTTTTTAATTGAATATTTAAAAGTGTAATGCCAATGACGATTTGAGCGCGCCATTTTCCGGGCGCTTCACAATGACGTCACAACAAATGGTTAGTCATTTTATTGTGTTTCATTAATTTGCTGTCAAGTTTAGAAACCTTCTATTTTTTTGTGCCCTTCGCAGTGATGTCACAACTCATGGTTTGTCATTTTACTCTATTCGGTTAATTTGATAGTTAGATAGTTCAGAGGCGCATCAACCTCTACTCTTTGGAACTGATTAAAATAATAAGTTGACAATCAATGACAACAACACTGTTGCTCACTTGTCGATATGGTGACCTTGCGTTTTGATATTCTAAATTTGCCGCGTAATTTTTCCATTTTACATTATTACAATCGTCATTTTATATCGCAAAAGTCGAAAATAAGGTTTCTGTAAATTTTTGTAAATAAAAATAAATAATCGGTATTTGAACCACGTGCATATTGTATATTCCCTATTCCCTATTCCAAGCTGTCGTCAATAAGCCTTAATATCAACAAGTATGGTTTCAAATGACAGGAACTCTTTGGCCTATCATTATTATTACCATAACTCTCATAATACACTGGAATCCACTTACAATGAACTTGCTTATAATGGAAACCCGTATATAATGGACACAATTTAAGGTCCTATAAATAATTGCATGTAAAATCCTCGCATATTATAGACTCGCTTAAAATAGGCCCAGGCTTATAGCGGACTATTTTAATCCACTATATGCTAGCTATTTTGGTAGTTCAACGAAGAATTATTTCGTCGACTTTAGCCATTTCTGTGATATTTATATCCATATCCAGAACTAAATACTTATAATTTTTTAACCTCTGCATTTACAATACACAGTACATCATCAGAAAAGGATCATGGTCAATTCCAAAATCGTCATGTCAGAACTGTTTTGTTTTCTAATGATTCAAGCAGGCAACTTGTTTTCCTATGTGGCAAAATGGCAAAACCATCTCCAGCTTTCATTTTTAAATTACGCCAAAACTTCAATATTCATTTTCAGTTTTCCTCTACAGTGAATATTTCTGTTGTCGAATGTATAAACGTAGTCAATGATATTTGTACAATAAAGTTGCGGTTCACACTGTAGGTGGTACGGCAGAGATCGAACCTCGGCCGCCTGCCGCTTGAAGTGATGGTAATTGCGACCCATATTGCGTTGCTGTTGACCTCGCGTAATCAGAGTGCAACGGCCGACAGACCTCCACATGCTGACCAACCTCTTTTCCGTATGCAAAATGACAAAGCAAATGTCGTCAATGGTATGTATTTTTTTCCTTTTTTGTTGTTTAAAATCCCATGCAACATGATATCGACATCGGTTTTTTAAATGAATAGATATGGTCTTATCAATCTTCGTTTACCACCTGGCCGTAGCCAGGGGAGAAAAATTCCAAGGTTTTACATAAGCCTCTTTTAATAATCTTCCATGTTTGTCTGACCAATGAAACCACAAATATACATGTGATTACTTATGAGATGAAAACCACAGGATAAGTTTCAGATGTTATATTCGCCTTTTTTCAGAATGCCATCATGATACCTCATCCCAGGAATTCTTCATATACACTTGCACCACCACGACGGTCCAACGCCTAAATCGTTGTTACCAATAATTTTCTAGGAGGAGGATTACTGTGAGGAATTTATTTTACGAACCAAAGACGTAAGCATCACCTACAAACCATCCCATAGCATTTCTTAAAATATTCCCCACAGATCCAGGATATCTACAATTTCGGGGAAAAATTATATGGTCGGATTAATTATAATATTTTAGAAAGTGAATAAAAAAGCTCCTCAGAGATACAACAAATTTTGCTATTAAACGTCAAAGTTGGCAGCAATGGATGACAAAACCTTAAAAATAATATATGCTCCATTTGCTGCACCAATTTTCATATTTATTCTTTACCGAATAGTATACAGGGTGTTTCAGTTTGTTGTTGCATAACTTTAAGATTCGATAGAACATTTAAAATTAATGCATAAAGTCTATATAAACATGGGTCGAAAAATGCGTGGCTTCCGAAATACAGGGTGTTTAAATTTACTTTCTAAAATAGTTTTTTTTAAATATTTCGAACAATATTTGATGTATAACAGTGAAAATTGGTATACAAGGGTTTTTTGGTACGACAAAACGAACCATGGTCATAGTTTTACTGTAGCCGCTAGAGGGCGCTATCTACTGTACCTGTAGTGTATTAAAATGATAGAAAATTTTTTCTTAGTACAACTTTTTGCTTTTTGAATAAAAAAACTGATTCCTCGCACTTTTCAACATAAAAAAGCTCTCTTGTGAATTTTCGTTATAGTTAGACGTTTTTGAGATATTTCGATTTTTAAGGTTCGATGCATTTTTAATTATTCATGATAAAATAACGTTAAAAAGTCAGTATCTCGATAATTTTTAGAAGTAGGCTGTGCCTGCAAATATTTTTTAAACGTCAATTAGTTGACAGTTAGTTTTGTTGTCTGTTGAAACATGAAACATTTTTTGCAATTGTGAATGCACGAAATTTAGTTTCTTTTACCTGTTTTTTTTTGTAAGTTTTATAAAAATGCCATTTTTATTCTCCAATCAAGAGTTAGCGGATATTCATTTTGTGTATGGCTTTGTAAATGGAAATGCAGCAGAAGCAGCCAGAGAATACGCACGAAGATTTCCAAACAGACGACATCCAACTCGCTCAGTATTTGTAAGAGTGCATCGGAAAATAATTGAAAATTGTTTTGGAAATCTTCAAAGGGATCAAAACATAAATGTTCGTCATCGCAGATTTACCTGTATGATTCTAGGTGAGTTTGATAGAGATCCGACCACAAGTGTTAGGAGAGTTTCTGGTGCCTTGGGAATTTCAGCAAGCCATGTTCACCGTGTTCTTAGAAATGACCATAGACGTCCTTACCATTTGCAACCTGTGCAAGGACTACAGCCAGGGGACGGAGAACGAAGAATCACATTTTGTCAGTGGATTCTTGATAGAACTGATAATAATAGGGAGTTTTTGAGCAACGTTTTATGGACCGATGAGTCATGCTTCACTAGACGTGGAGTGGTAAATTTTCATAATCAACATATTTGGTCGCATGAAAATCCGCATGCAGTTCGGGAAAGAAATTTTCAGCATGAATTTAGTGTGAACGTGTGGATTGGTATCTACCGTAATCGTCTATTTGGACCCTACCTTTTGCCTGCAAGGTTAAATGCTGCGACCTTCGTGGAAAAAATGCACTAAGTAAAAATTTTCGGTCATTTTAATACACTACAGGTACAGTGGAGAGCGCCCTCTAGCGGCTACAGTAAAACTATGCCCATGGTTCGTTTTGTCGTACCAAAAAACCCTTGTATACCAATTCATCAAACATTGTTCGAAATATTTAAAAAAAACTATTTTAGAAAGTAAATTTAAACACCCTGTATTTCGGAAGCCACGCATTTTTCGACACATGTTTATATAGACTTTATGCATTAATTTTAAAAGTTCTATCGAATCTTAAAGTTATGCAACAGTAAACTGAAACACCCTGTATAACAGTGAATCTGAAACAACCCACAAAAGTTAAAACCCCTTATAGGTATCAACAGAAAAAAGTAATGAAAATTGCTCAACAGTTTCTACGAAGTTCTTATTTTTACGAATTTTGTGAGAAGGACGTTTGTTTTTTTGGCAACTTGTTCGGTGACACAACTCTTGCAGTAAATTAAACATAATATAAGATTTTACTCTGAAGCTCTTGTTGTCCACTACAACTCTACTGCACACCACTCATATCAATACTTGATAGCTTCTTGAAACACACGCAAGCTTTTTTCAAAGTTACCCAGGAATTCTTTGTATAATCCGTCTGAACAATTTTTTCTATAAGGTCCATTTCTGGCGAGTTACCTGATCTTTAAGTGGCTTATAATGCTAACCTATCACCAGTGTTTTCATTCCTATCGTTTATTTATACGTATAATGATGAGAAATAGATCGAGGTTCAATGTACTCCGGCATCCATAATAGAATAAACTATCGTTCGAGCAAATGAGGCAATAGGCGTCGGTTGGTTCGAATTCAAAAGTTGTTCTCATTTTCGCGTTCTGTGCATGATTCGTGAAAGGTTATTATCTTCATGGAAAACCGAGAGTTCTTGACATTATAACCTCCATGTAATGAGTAGCTTTTGTACCTGAGGTTTCTCAATAATATTTAAGATCGTGATTATGTATTTCAGGTTTATTGTGTTCTTGTCACATATTCATAGAATACTTATTTACTAATTATTCACCATAACTCAACTTTATATTGATAACTAAAACCTAATTTTATGTTTTGTGATCCTTCTAGTACTTTGAAAAGTCCAATGCATATCTTGATTACTTGAAGAAGACTTTTGATTTCAAGTTCAATATTCCCCTAATTCAGCTTGACTATTACCTTGTTGTTTAAACAAATAAGAAAATAAAAAAGATTAAGTTTTTAGTTTGTTTAAAAACATTTCTTTTATACAAGAAGTTTAAGAAAATAAACGTCGTTTTTATTAGTAAACGATTTATTGTTATTGTTCTCTCGAAGTTTTTATTTTATGTCTTCTAATGAGAAATATCTGACTATTTATATCACTAAAGAAAAACGTTTATGTGAAGAATAAGTTTTTTTCTATTTCAAGATACTTTTCTAGTAAAAAATAATAAACTGACATTTTATGTAAGTACCTAATATCCTCATATTCTCTTTTCTGATATTTATATTGGCAAAATATTCGCATGAACTTCTCAAATGTGGATGCGAATAAAAAAAACATTCGCGAATGCGGATTCGAATATTCGTTAAATAATTACTGTAGTTTCTAAATACAATCTTTGCCATGATGACTCCGCCTGCAATGTTTAATTCCGAGCCATCGATGTTGTGTTGTGTGTTGTCTATGTCACACGTGAGTGCAATACTAACGATAGGCACATCTCAACGCTGGAGCTGGTTAATTATATCAGTTACCAATAGATGGGTCGTGGAGTAATACAGTGTTGGTACTACGGTTTGTCAAAAGGGTCACAGGTGACCTAGCTGCCAGGCTTTGGCTCCCCACAACCACTACTACTACTAGTACTAACGGGTGATTTTTTAAGAGGTACAGGATTTGATTTTCAAAGAAAACACAAAAAATTTGAAAAAACGATTAAATCTTTATTTGAGTCGATAGAACGGTCGATATAATTTAATGTTTAAAGATTATTTTATGTAAATGTTGGCCGCTGCTCCGCTTTAGATGGCCCATGCGCAAGGTCCAATTTTGGCACACTCTCTCCAACATATCGGCCGGTATCTCACGAATAAATGCTTCAATATTGGCTTCCAGTGCGTCAATCGTTGCTGGTTTATCCATGTAGACATTAGCCTTAACATGGCCTTACAAGAAATAGTCCAACGGCGTTAAATCACACGATCTAGGCGGCCAATTGACAGGCCCCAAACGTAAGATAAACTGTTGACCGAACTCGCCTCTCAATAGGGCCATTGTTTCGTGTGCGGTGTGGCATGTGGCACCGTCTTGTTGAAACCACATGTCAGCCAAGTCCAGCTCTTCCATTTTGGGCAAAAAAAAGTTTGTTATCATCGCACGGTAGCGCTCGCCATTCACAGTTACGTTCCGGCCATTGTCGTCTTTGAAGAAGTACGACCCGATGATGCCACCGGCCCATAATCCACAGCAAACAGTGATTTTTTCGGGATGCATTGGTAGCTCTTGCAATGCTTCTGGCTGGTTTTCACTCCAGATGGGGCAATTTTGCTTGTTAACGTACCCATTCAACCAGAAATGAGCTTCGTCGCTGAACCCAATTTTTCGATAAAAATGTGGATCTTCCTCCAACTTTGCCAGCGCCCATTCACCAAATTGGAAATGTTGTGGTTGGTCGTGTGGCTTCAATTCTTGCACCAGCTGTATCTTATAAGGTTTTACACCCAAATCCTGTCGCAAAATTTCCACGTAGTGGAGTAACAGAGGCCCAATTGCTGCGAACGGCGGCGAATCGACATTTCACGGTCATCACTAACACTGGCGGATACAGCCGCAATATTTTCTTCAGTCCTCACTCTACGTCTGCGTGTTGGTGGTTTAATGTCCAATAATGTAAACTGGGTTCGAAATTTAGTCACAAGCTTCCGAATAGCTCCCTCAGTAGGCCGACCAAATTGCCCATAAATTGGAAGCAGTGCTCGATGCACTCTCTTAACCGAGCATGAATTTTGATAGTAAAATTCAATAATTTGCAAGCGTTGTTCGTGTGTAAGTCGATTCATGGTTAAATTATAGACCAAACTGAACAAGCTTGACAATGACACAAGACACAATTCACGCGTCATCTGTCAGAAACAGTGTTGCCAAAAAGATACTAGCAAAAAAATCACCCATTGCTACTATTACTAGTACTACTACTATTACTACTGATCCACCATTTGTACCATTGATGTATCTACATGTTTTAAAAATTAAAAATACAGCTAACGGAAGCCAAACAAAAACTCATAACTAATTCAGGAGATGACCGAGTGACCTAGCTTACGCTGTGTTCTCGTTAATATCGCGTACGTGCGATTTGCGAAAAAAATGGAGCGAGCTTAAAAACTAGATGGTGACTGAGTTTTGTATTCATAATATGGAAGTGGATAAACATCGACCGGTCAATATAATACAGGGTGTCCCAACGAAAATGGAAAGTGGCTTTACGAGCAA